TTACATAACTTTCGCCTAAACTCAGAACTTGTCTTTACCTTTTAATTATGCTTTACGTATAAACTATTTCGTTTGAATTCGTAAAAAACTTGAAACTTGATTGTACATATACAATTGAAAAATATATTTTTTTAAAATATTATTTTAGGTTGTATTGGATTATATTTTTAAATGTATATGGGTTTTTTTTACGTTTTATTGCATTTATATATTGATTGAAATTTTTTTAACATTATTTAATTAGATATTAATAAAAATCTTATTATTACTGTTATCGATGACCGTCCTAGCTGACTTAATATCCTGGATCCGCCACTGGTTATAAGTGATGGAATCAACAATTGTGGTATCGAAGATTGCGACAGGTTATAAAATAGACGACAAAATGTGTGTAGCACATGATCTTACAAGTGGTAACAGGCGAGGTCCGCCACTGTGGTGGCGAAAATCAATTGTCAAATGTATATAACATAATTTCACAAATGTAATACGTGTTACAATAATAATATTTTGAAATTAAAAAAAAAATTCAAAAGCAAATATGAAATAGTTAACTTTTTTAAATGTTTTCGTGAATTGTTCTTATTTAATTGTTGTAAACTCTATAACAAAATTTGGGCAACTGAACCCTACGCATTGGGCTTGGGCTAGAAGTGAAGCTGGATGCAAGCTAAACGCAACTTACAAAAATACTCTTATAGTTAAATGTCTTTTGAAAAATCATATGAAAAGTAGTTTAAAAGTAAAAAAATACTTTATAAAGTTAAGTGTCACTTCTTTATCAAAAAGTGACATACGTTAAATGTCACTTTTTAAAGTTAAATGTAATTTTTTTTTTATAATGTTACTTTTATTAAAAAATTATATTTGTCACTCAAAATAGCGATAAAAATTCAAGAAAAAAGTAAGAAACAAGAAAAAAAGTGATAGAAAATAAATGAAAAAAGTGACAATCACTAAAAAAAGTGATGAACGCTCAAAAAGTGACAGAAATTCACGAGTCACAACAATTTCAAAAAAGTGACATTCTAAAAAAATGAGAGTGACACAGTTCACCCCCAATGAATACAAAATGTCAATTTTTAAAGTAGTCACTTTTTTATTAAAATACAATATCACTTTTATGTTTGTCACTAAAAAAAGTGATAAAAACTAGAAAAAAAAAACAAATAATAAAAAAAAATGTGACGGAAATTTATTTTTTTAAAAAAGTGACGAATAATAAAAAAAAATTACAGAAATTCAAAAGAAATAACAAACACTCAAAAAGTGACAGAAATTTAAAACAAATGACAAACACTCAAAAAAGTTATAGAAATTCAAAAAAGTGACAAATACTCAAAAGTAACAATTTTAAAAATGTAACGCTGCATACTTATTTCTCGTGATTATTATGTCTAGTTGGATTATTTTTATTAATATGATATTTATTTTATAATTTATATAATTATCATTCCCGTGACTAGCTGTATTTTTTACAATGAAATGTAATTTCACGTCCTGAATGAATCACATCCCCATTAATTAAACTATAATGTTTATATTTTATTTAACTCATATTAAATTATACTATTTACTTCATTCGATTTTGTACCGTCTTGCTTTTGATTTGAACCTAGACATCAAGTTGGAAGATATTCGTTTTTTTTTTTCTCTCGTTTTTAGTAAATTTGGTGTAAATTAATTTAATAATGACAAGATAATTAATAATGGAAATTTAGTAAATTAATTGAATTGATTTAAGGACTAAATAAGTTAATAGGCTAATTAAGGGTATTATTACTTAATTAGCAGAAATTGCACCACACTAAATATCATTAGTTTAAAAAGTCAATATCCCCCATTTTATCACTCCATGCTTCTCGCCAAGATTTATTTTTATTAATATGTGGATTTAATTGGGTTTTGGAAATCACGCAGTTTCATTTAATCATTAAGAGATTAATTTATTGATCCGGTACAAGTCTTTGTATGAATTTAATCAACTTCTAAAATGAACACGATCATAACCAAGACAACTGAATTTTGTTGTATCTACTATTAAATTTTAAAACTATTTGCACTAGTGTTCAGTATCAAAGAAACATAAATTAATTCTTGGAACTTTTGATATTTAACTCTTCCGTCGCTAGTGTTTGATTGTTGTCTATTAGTTGCTAAATTTTCTAATGGTACTTAAGATTGGATTATATATTTAATCTAACATGACAATAATAAATAAGTAGAAGTCATTTTTAATCAATAGTAATGAACTAAGATCTCATGGGCGGCTAAGGACATCTTCACTACCCACTCTAAAAGGTTAATTGCTAAGGATTTGAGGTAAGTAAATACCTCCTTATTTTCATGTGTACGTTATATGCTTAAATATATAAACGTGTTACTTAAGTTGTCATTATGTAAACATAATATTTAAGCATTACTTTTTATGTCATAAATGTTTGTCATGACATATTCATACATGTCAATGCATTTATAAGCATACATGAAGTTTCAATAAATAAAAATTTCCAAATGTCAATGAGTCAAGATATGTATCTCGAATGTTTTATTACGGGGTGTATGTATATTCCATGAAAGGTGTGAGTGGGAAATGGGGCATGGGAGACCGGCGCATCCGATCAATGTTCAATGATAATGTTAATGTTAACCGATTTACGGTACTATCGGTAGAACTCCACCGAGTTCCAAATAATAATTGTCCACTGCATTCTGATTGGTCGGGTTATACACCAAGTGAGCTCACGTCGTCAATGTTAAGTTTCTGAAGAAATAAAAGAAAATGGGATACATAATGAAAAATACTTTTTAAAAAGAGAATGAAGTGATAATATTTCCAAATCTAGGTAACTACATTTGGGGGTGTTACAAAAAAAGTGATAAATACTCAAAAAGTGATAGTAGAAATTTTAAGAAAAAAAAAAACGTGGCAAATTACGCTGCTAACAAAAATTCAAATCACCCTACTATCTACACGCAAAACACATGAACTGTCACATATAATCATGTATTCAATATGGTAATGTTCAACAAATAGTTGGGTTTCTTTAGATTTTTCACACTATAAGTTGGTTTCCTATTTTACTATTTTCCATAATATAGTAAAGAAAGTAGAAACAAAATAAGAACAGATGTGAAAATGCCATCTAAATTCTAATGTAGAAAACAGAAGCTCATCAATATTAACATGCTATTCTTCTGAATTGAGACGGTTGAGGAGGGTGATGTATTGTCAAAGGGTGAATGATGAATCTGTTGTTGTGGAAACTGATAAAGCTGATATGGATTTTGGGATGTTCTATGAAGAAATATTGGCAGCCATTGTTATTAACAAAGGAGAAACAGCTCATGTTGATGCGACGATTAGAATTTTTTAGCAAAAAAAAAAAGAGGATGAAGTAGCTGAAGCTAAGGCTAAAGCTACATCTTAATCCTCCTCAGCCACTGCTCAGTCAGCGCTTAAGGTTGAGAAATCATCGCCTTGGATGCTCTATCCCCGACAATTACTACTGCTTCACTGGAAAAAGGTGGTGGTGACTCCATATGCAAGAGCCATACGCATCAATGTGTTATTTCAAACATGGATTTGAAATTTCTAAAAAAAATTTGAACCAAAATGAAACAACCTAGAATTAAAACACTTTTAGAAATTAGAATCACAAGGAAAAACTATAAATTGAGAAAGAAGCACATCCGAAAAGATTAGCAGTCGTCCGTCCGGTGATGGATTGTTTAGGAGGTTGTTGGCGAGGCAATTTATGGAGCAATTGCAGACGGCATCGTGCGGGATTAAGAATTTTAATTAGTTTTAAGATTATTTTTCTAATTTTATATTTTGGGAGGGTAGGGAACCTAATTTCCTCTTTAACACAATTTTGAGCAGAACCATCTAAGGGGACAGATTGAGCTAATTTTAAGACAGTGCGGATGGCTTTTCTTTCACTCTTGTAAGTTGGAACCAATTTGCTATCTTGTCAATTTGACGTTATTCTTCTGGGAGTTGCACATGCAACTGGCATATAAGAGGGTTGTACCTTGTGGTTCAAGTTGTGTACTCCTAAAATAGAAGACAAATCCCAAACACTACCACATTAACCTAGTAACAAGCCTAGGAATAAATGCGTGGCTAATATGAAAATAAATGAAATATTCCTACAACGGGGTAAGTCATCCTAATTTAATATCTTTCTCTCTTATTAAATATAAATTAGCTATAAAATTTTAATTATAAATAGAGATAAATAATTTATTAAGCATCGGTTGTTAGCATAAGCTATACAAGGGTGAAACAACACGATCATATAATTTTCTGACCTACCATGAACTTATTCATCAATTATTGATGTGCCGTTTCATCGATGTTTGCTTATAGTAGATCATTTCTTTATAGACAGAACCTGCTAGAGATGAAAATTGAAGAGACCATCTATTCATTAGACATTAATGCTCGATAAATCAAAAGCATTTCTATCCTAGATGCCACCTAAATTGCAATCCATGAAGTGGGTTGGAGATCTTCTTAGTAGTCGCCGATGATTTTTGAAGTCAACAATAACCATATGACCAAGTTCATAATCGTGACCGCACATACATAAACACATACGTGTGGATAGAGTGGTTATTTCCTTGTCCAAAACATTGATTAACATCGTAGATGAGCAGAAAAATATGAAACATGTAATGCAGGAAGTGCCATTAGAGAACATCAAGTTACATGAAAAAAAATGCTATTCTTGCATCGAAATTAGAGATTGAAACTCAGAGCATTTTTCACTACCAAAGGAAGTGTTATTCTCGAAACCTCGGCAGTCCAAAGTCGAATTAAGCATTATTCTACCATCAAAAGTAGCCTATTCTAATGAGAGAAATTTTTTTTGTGGGATGTGTGTGGAATATCTTGTACAATCTTCTTGTTGAGAGCAACAAAACCTGAGGCCATAAAAACGTATAGCCATGGTCAGCAGCCTTCATTAGCCTATTACTAGAGATAGAGCATATTTTTATTGCACTTTAATGACTATCTTCATGAACTCGTAGACAAAATAACTAATGGCAGCCGATGGTAAAACCTGAAAAATTGAAACATAAAGAAGAACGTGAATTTAACATGTTCAAAAGGGGATTGTGATGATAAGTATTTCACCTAATGTATTACCGTCTATGGTTAAAAAATATTCTACATCAACGAGCAAAAATAGCAAAGGAATGTCAGTGCAGGTTCCGGCAAAGCTTAAATCACAATTAAGCCAGTCAAACATTCTTTTTATCTATACATTTTGTATGATCCACAGATACTACATACTTATCATCCGAACATTCCGTAGGATCCACCACTCATAAGCACTTAAAAGTATTACCAAACGTATTGGAATAGCACTCTAAGGAACATAAACTATCGTGTATCTTTTTTGTGCTTCATCTTACTCATTGGTCTTGGCTCCTAACAATGATATCACCAATATGTATTATGATGTATACCCAACAAGATAATCAAGTCCAAAAAACCAAATTAAAGAAGTTTGATATTTGAAAACAAAATTAAGGAAATTCTCATATTAACTTAAGATATTATGCCTTTTGTTCATCAGATTAAGAAGTTCGAAGACAGCTCAAAATTTCAATGCATATAGGGAAGGTAGCAGAAAGGTGTGCCTCTTACCTGTAATAAGCTCGGGATCAATCCAGCATAGAGTGCAGGAAAGCCACCATGTTCGACTATCTTAATGCCAGTTTGTAATGCATTCATCTTCGTTGCTCGAACTTGCATCTGAAGCTGTCTTCTCACAACTTCAAATGGGTAAGTAGCAGCTTCAGAACATGCACCGACAATTGCTCCATATATCAAAGTTCTTACTGTGCCCAGCTCGAGTTGTTCGAAAGCATTCAAATCTTCACCTTGTTGTTTCATATGTTGAATCCTTTTTACTCCTTCCGGTGAATTCAGATACGCTGATTTTAATATATCATAAACACCGTAAAAAACAGCACCAGAAGGTGCCATGCTGATGATAGAGGGAACTAAGCCCTTGTAAAGAGAGAAGAATCCTTCAGTTCGGATCATGTGGCAGAAAGTATCAATTAATCCTCCCAAGGCTTCACCCCCTGGAGCTACCATAACAGTCCTGATCTGAAATATTATGAACAAAACACATTCTCCAAACATAAGTAATAGGATGCAATAGCTTGATTTGATCTCTTTAACAAAAAATAACTCTGTAACTCAGTTAATTAATTCTCTCTCGTTCAAATGATTAACCACAAACAACTTCCAACTACGAATTCATAATAGGTACATGTAGCAACTGAGAGAAAAAAAAATCGAGTTGAAGGCTTCAATTACTCGATTTATTGTTACTTTTTATGGACTGTCATTACAATAATTTACTAATCCTCATTTGCATGGATCCGGAGCTGGAAATCAGGAAAGTTAACAATCAGTTTGATCATATTTACAACAGGATGGAGTCTTCTAAATAAAATACCCGCCTGTGAGAGACCTAATAAGAAAATTCCTAAAATAATCAAACTTAGCCCCAGGTCATCCCATATATAAAACAGTGGTTGGATGAGGGTCCTATAGAAATTAGAGTGTTGCTCATTACTTATATTACGACGAAAATTAGATTCCATGTTGTGAAAAATAGAAAATGATTTCTCCATATAAATTACATATAACAGAGCAAATTCCAAGGAGCACCAAAATGCCCTTGAAGTAAATAAGTGGTCAGTGTCAAGAAAAATGAAAAGTTACCGTTTGCCAATTATTTGATAACTGTTGAATAGCACAGAGGAGGATGAACTACCAAAAGTTCAAAGGATTTTCTTCAGCTTTAAATGCAAAAAAGAGCGCTGCCATAATTATACACCAACTTCCATAGTATGGTTTGGTTTGATCAGTCTTAGCTTACAGGCCTTTCACTGAAGCAGAATCTAAAAGCGATTAGATACTTGAGAGATATCTTCAGAAAAAGGTATGCCACCAGCTAGTAATCACAAAGTAAACAAAATTTTCGTATGTCACTCACAGTGTCCATAGGTATACAGAGAACAGTTGCAGCAATTCCAGCAGCTGCACCAGCAAGTAACCTTTCAAAATTTGTTGTCTCCTCATTTCCAGACCACTTGAGAAGCTGATTTCTGTATGTATCGTATGCATAGAAATTGATAGACTTAAATGGAGCTATACGTAAAATATTGACAAAATTTCCTTTCCAAAATCCTCTGAGCCCTTGAGAAGATGCTATTGTCTTAACGAGTTCAAGAAGATTCTTCTGTTCACCACGAACAATATACTCCAGCTTTAATCTCTCCAATGGAGCAACAAACGTTCTGACACAAAGGAGGTGCCGGAGATGGGAGATACATAAGTTAAACAGACTCAACAGATGATATGCTACGTATTACAATTTACCAAACAGCCAAAACAAAGCGTCACTATATATCGCAGTACTGTGAGCTAGTTTATGATAGTTTTTGGAACTGAATAGCTATTCTAAGTAAATCTATATTGCAGCCATAGAGTCTACGGGCACATTCAATTCTAAGAAGGTGCAGGAGATACAGAAGTTTAACGTACTCGGTGGATTTAGATTATGTATGCTAGTTATTGCACAGCCAAAAACAAGATGATCATATCACACATGGTCCACCATGTTCTATGTAAGCGCGTGTGCTAGTTTATGATAGAATTAGATCTTTAGCTAGTTGCTTGCTTTAGAACAATGTCACCCAGACCATAATGTATTAAGAATTTAAAACATTTCAAAGGGAACGCTAATTGGCAAATGAAGCGGACTCATAATCTGAAAATAAAAAGCATATTCAGATATCTCTTAATCTGCTCAAAAATAAACTATTGCTTATTAGATTTGAGTTAGCCTTTTTCCGAAGGAATAGATAATGTGCCATGGAGTTGTAGATGATCTTAGGTGCTAGCCCCAAGGGTCTAAATTCTATCACCATCAATGGGGGTTGTCAATCACCCCAGATGATCCAGCCTGAGCTGGGTTCAGTTTCTCATCACCCCAATGTACTGTTCATTTCTCTTGGCTTAAGCTAGGCTTCCACGAGTAGTTTTGTAATAACCTCTAGTCATATTCTTGATTCTCTTCTTCCCAAGTATAGTTCCACTAACTTTGGAAAATAAGATCACAAGCACGACAGTTACAGTCATTAAATTTTAAGTACATTAAGCATCTAGTGTCCTTAGTATAGTTCCACTAACTTTGGAAAATAAGATCACAAGCACGACAGTTACAGTCATTAAAATTTAAGTTCATTTAGCATCTAGTGTCCTTATGCCATAATGCACAATGCCTTTATAGACACTGCCAATGTAAAGGAAAGATAACAAACGCCCCCATTTTTAAAACTTATTTATCTCCAAACTCATTTTCAACCACACATTCCATTAACTTTTTATCAAAAATCTACTAAAAATCTGATTTTTATCAAAACCAAGAATTGCATGTACTAATAAGCACTGAATATTATCCTTTTTCAATAATAACTAATACAACAGGCAGCTTATAACAAACATTTCTTGCATCATATACTTTTGTATTTATATATAAATAGGGAGAAGCAAACCTCGAGACCATGGCAGCAACGGCGCCAGCCCAGAGATGCTTAGCAGTGTTCAGAGTACCACCTCCTCCGTGCAGCCTCCCCTTCTTCTCGTTAACAACATCCTTCAACGCCACCGTTTCACTCTCGTTCCCATTCTCACTCTCCCCGCTCTTTTCCTCAATTTTTCCTACAACGCCACCAGACACTGACTCCTCCGCACCAAACTCTTCACCATCCTTAATTGACGAAAGTGTCACCGACAAAAACCCACCCCCGCCGATCAGTCGCCCTCTCCGGCGGCTCCTCCCCCTCCTCCGGCAACACGAAACCGCCACCGAAATCGATTTACTCGATGAAACCAAAGAAACAAATGATGCAGGAACCGACTCTTCCAAAAACAACCCACCTCTTCCAACAACACTTTCAAACTGCAAATTATTCTTTGATCCCAAATCGGCATTAATTGCAATCAAATTCTTAAAAAAATTATCCAAGTTATGCATTTGCAATAAAAAACAATTAATACAAACACTAGATCAAAATTAAGATCAAATTGATGAGTGCGTGATTGCATAAATAGAGAGTGCAAATATGAGAGAGAGAGAGGGAGAGAGTGGAAAAAAATGGAGAATTGATTCGACAGTGAGAGCGATGAGGAGCATATTTCAGTGCATTAGAACCATCGCCGGGCGGTGGTTCCTAGCAGATCCCTACTGTAGGCATTCCTGTAATTGCTGCAGTAGATGTAAGATTTAAAAATGGAGGAGTATTTTTCTCATATGCAGTAGTTGGAACAAATTGATCTTAGCATTAAGTAATTTTAGTTTAGGCTCTGTTTGATAGCCTTTAAAATCCAAAAACGAAATTTTGAATAGTAAATTTTTGAAGAATGCGTAGTTAAAATATTAAAAAAAGTTTTGAATTTACGTTCAGAATATTTTATTATGTGATTGTGTGGTTGAAAATGAGTACGTAGAAAAAAGAATTTTTGGATAATGGTTGTCAAATAGTGCTATTTGTTACATGCTTTTTATTTAAGTTCACGACTTGTTAAAAATGAAATCACTTTTTATTTACATATTTCGTAGAACTTACACGTACTATTCGCTCATCTTCCATGGATTTATAAACACACTTATTTAAAACACTTACCGAACATGTTAGGGGCCGTTCTCTTCGTGTTTCAGTTTTGTGTTTTGTGTTTTGAATTTGTTTTGTGTTTTGTGTTTTGAGTGTCTGTTTTGAAATTTCTGAAAATGCGTTCTTTTTGCCATTCTGAAAAACAGTTTC